CACTCACCCTTGGCATATTTATAAACATTAAATAATGTTGGGGAAACCTGTGAAGAGGGCTGAGCTTGCCAGCCCACTGCTGTGGGGAAGCGCAGGCCAGAGCCCGTCAGCCCTGTGCTGATAAACCTGCTGCCTGCTTGAGATCCGCTCTCTTTTGGGTGTTTTGTTAAGCCCCGAACCAAGGCACACCATAAAAACACCCTTATGTGTTAAAACTGAAGAACTCAACCGAATTTCTGTCAGCATCTTTCCAGCAACACCCAAAGAAAACTCTATCTAACCTGATGATCTGATTCCATGCACTGATATGCATGTTCAACTTAATTACTGCTGTCTTAACTCCTCTTTTTCTTTCCAAATTCATCCCTCTTCACTGTACCATGTAAACCGATGTCCCTGTCTAAGCTGATGTCCCTGTTGGAGTTTGTTTAAGTGAGATGCCCCAGAGCTGTCGCTGAGCTCAATGCTTGGGCCAAGGCGTTTGTGAAGCGGGTGCCAGTGCTGCTGGATTACAGAACCCTGAGCCTTGGCTCGTGGCTCCAATTCATCTGGAATTAAACAATGAGTGTACTGATAATTTCAGAGCATGTTCTAGTGCCATTTCTTAGCACATTGTACCTGCTTTGCTATTTATTGTACACGCTTCCTGGCTGAGGGGTTGGCTCAGGCATTTTTCTCAGGGCTGTTGCCAAGCCAGGTAGTTCTTTTAGCCAAGTAGTTTCCAGCTTCTTATTTGCACTTTTTGGCTTACCACTGTGATTTTGTTGGAGTGTTACCTGCTATTGAATTTTCCCAAATTAAATTGTTTCTTCCCATGAAGGGCTTCTAGTGCCCTTGCCAGTAAAATTCTGTCATCAGAATGATGATTATGTTCTTTTGCATTGCTTAGTTGTTCCTGACAAAATAGTTGAGAAGTGAGCGGTTGCTAGGTTGTAGCTGAAGTTTATTAATACATCTGCTTGCTAGGACTTGTAACACTCATGGGGACTGGGGAAAGTGAGAGCAGGGAGGAATGTAGTGTGGAAAGACAATCAGCAGAACAAAATGATGTGCAAATATGACCAAAAAATAGACAATGAGAAACTCAGGACAAAAAAGGGAGCAAATGGTCTACCCAAGTGAGAACTTTTCCTGTGCTCCTGGGAGGCTGTTTTGTATAGAATCATAGAATCACAGAATGTTAGGGGTTGGAAGGGACCTCAAAAGATCATTTAGTCCAAGTCCCTGCCAGAGCAGGATCATGCAGAGTAGGTCACATCGGAATGCATCCAGGCGGGTTTTGAAAGTCTCCAGAGAAGGAGACTCCACAACCTCCCTGGGCAGCCTGTGCCAGTGCTCCATTACCCTCACAGTTAAAGAAATGCAAAGCTCCAGTTTTTTAACCTCTCTTTCTTTCTTCCTGTCTTTCCACTAACATCCCCTCTTTGTGGGAATCGGTTGCCTTTACTTTCAGGGGTGGTCTGACTCCTACATATCTAATCACTCTCTGAAAAGATCTATTTCATACGTTTCAGACCTGAAGGTGGATTTTGTGCCAGAATCTTGTCTATGGTTCCCAGCTGTGCTTGTGTTGGCCTTACTATCCCTGCAGGCCTTCTCTTTGTAATTTTTCAGCGATGAAAGCTATACAATATCTGTCTGATTTTGGTGAAGTTTAATTGGTACTGAAACGCATTTGTTATTTATAGATACTGGTTCTGCTATTTCCATGTGGAAAGTAAAACAGACTGTGTAAGACATTAAACCACTAGAGCTATGTTCATGCTCAGGGCTATTTGCTGCTGCTTCTTCCAAGGCTGGTGCTTCCCCCTGCCCATTCTCACCACCTTGGGGACCCAAGCTTCTCTTGCCATGCCAGCTGCTCATCTTGCAGTCACAAACGGCTCCTCCAGAGCCCATGTCTCATTGCACCCCTGGAGGAATCATTCCTCCCACCCCCCAAACTGGATCAGGTCTGGAGTTCAGTTAAATGTTGGGGGTTTTATCTAGCCAACTGAATAAAAAGTCAAATCTACGGCAGAGGGAGCTCGAGGCTGCATACAGGGCCCAAACAGCAAGTAGTTACCTGACCGGTTAAGCTAACCTAACTCCAGTGTGGTGGAAAGAGGCAGCTGTGCCTGCCTCTTTGGCTGTGTGTTGCCACTCCCACCTGGTTTTGGGAGCTGATCCATCTGGAAAGCATTTTTATTTCTATTTTTTATGAGGTTAATTGCGAGATCGTACAGGTCCCGCATCCTGTAGCACACGAGGCTGTACAAATGGGAGCACGGTTACTGAATCCAATGGCTCTGAGTGACATCTGCCTCTAACCACTCCCATATGCATTCTTTCACATGTTCTGCTATTCGTTATGGTTTCCTATCATGTGCTAATTGATTCATTACTTTATGTTAAGCATACAGTCATGTGCTAGCCATTAGGAGTCCCAAATGTTGAACTCATGATGTGTATCTTTAAATGCTATATCTTCTGGTCTGCCAGTCCTCCTTTATATGATAGATACAACGCATAAGTTGTAGACCTTCATTCATACTTCGATGGACTTTCAAGTTCCTGCTCCTTAGTCTTGTATGTAATTCCTTGGTTACTCTCTAGAGCTCCTCCTTGTTGCAGTTGTATAACAACTGTAATTAGACCTGCTGATATGTAGATCTGTGCTTTAGGCTGTGGTAATACAATGTGTTTGAGAGGGGAAGGAAAGAATTTTGAAATATCCTATGACATTTGAAACATCCAGCATAGTAATGTGAGTATAAGTCTCACGTTCACATGAAGTTCTGTTAGACTACAGAAGTTTTGCAAGAGTTAAAGCTCCATACATGTCTCAGAAAATGTGACTCTAAAAGCAAAAGCAGCTGGGAGGAGGCTGAATGGGTTCCTGAAATCTTGCTGGTCAGAAGTTAACTGGTCGAAAGAAATGAGTAGGAAAAAATGGAAAGAAGTGTTTCTCACTTTTTACAATCCCAACCTTCAGAATTTCAGAACAAAAACTTTAAGGAGTCCAGAGTTGCTCTGAATTTTTAAGTTTTACAGGAAGAAGACAGATTACTTATGGTATTACTACTTACATATAGCATGCCCCAAGATTTGCCAGAAACAGGTTGAATTGAACACACTTGTGTGCAAAAAAGGATAATAAAATAGTTACTGATTTCTTCAGAGTTATTTCTACTTTTTGCCTGAGGTGAAGGAGTACAGAATTTGATGCTTTGGACCTGTAGTCCCAATGTGACACAGTTTTAGGTTCTGTCATAGTCTGTAAATGCATGCTGGCATCAGCATGGTATAGAATGACCTGTAGAATTCAGACCATTCTAGTTTCATAGGCTGTTTATTGCAGTTACTACTGGCCTGGGGAAAAATAGTTGCACCCTCCCCTGCCTTTATCTTTCAAGCTCTGACTGAAGCAGCTGAAAGTCTTGCTGCATGTAGATAAGAAAGGGTGAGCAAAGAGGCTGGGAGTAAGATCTGAGTAAACAGTGGCTCTCAAAGGCAAAGCTAGTACTTAAGCGCAGTACGCTGTGGTGCAGGGAGCAATCTCTGTGGGAAGGGAGACGAACAGCGCGAGCAGAGCTTGCCTAACACCTGGCCTGGGCCGCCCCAACCTTCTATACGCCGCCTGCTTGGGCAAAGCCAGGTACAGAAGGATTTCTTTTCTGCTTGGGAAACTCCCAGTGTCCTGAGCACGGACCCAACCAGCGATGCCAACCCTACAGACACAGCCGGGCAGATGTGAGCACCGCTAGCACATCGGGGCCATCGCACCCGGGCCTCTGGGTCGTGCCTGGCCGGGGTTACCCTTGCGTGGGCTTAAACCTGGCCCGGGTGACCCCTGCGTGGGCTTAACCAGGGTCTTGCGCGGCTCTCCAGGGAGGTGTCAGCCGCTCGCCAGCCATGTGCACCTTTCCTGCTGTTTCCCGGTGTCTGCACGCCTTGCTGCTGCGGCAGCGCTTCTGGCTATAGCCCGCCCCTATAGCGTCCTTATTGGATTCCCGGCCAAGGGGGTGTTGCTGCAGCGGTAGCACATTGATATGCGGGAGCTGCAGAGCGTTGTATAAGAGGGAGCTGCAGGGAGCAGTGGAGAATTAAACGGCATCACGTTTTCCTCTCTGAGCTGAAGAGGTTAGTGACTATTACTTAATCCCCGCTAACTGAAATTAGGATTTGGAAGCGCTGCTTTCGTGTTCTCCTTCCCCCCCGCCCCCCCAAGGTTGCTTGCCACCAGCGTGTGCCCCTCGGTGGTGAAGCAGTGGGGGACTCCTGCAAGTCACGTTGTCCCAGCTGCTGCAGAGACACCCACCACGCTAGAGGGGACAGACCAACACCTGGGGAAGGGGGAGTGGGGGGGAGTAAAGAGAAAGAAAAAAGAGGAAAGCCCTTTGTTTGGAAGAATATGCAGGGTGCCCTGAAGCAGAGTATTAGCTTGTAAATGGTGTGGAAGTAGCCAAGTAGCATCGTTGGGTGGCCGGAACACGGCACAGTGAGTGTGTGAGGAGTCATTTGAAACCTTTCTTACGAAGTGTCTTCTGGGCTTGTTTTTAGAATTGCTGAGCTTCCTCCAGGGCCTGTTAAAATCCATGTTTACTGCAGGTGTTTGACACCCGCTTCTGAAAAAGCAGATTATTATCCTTGCTATACTTCAGTTTGCCTACGTGTAAAGTGGAGACGAGAGCGTTGTCCTTTACAAAAGGAGCATGATGGGGCCATATTCCAGAGAGCCTTTGGTAGAGAAAAGGTGATTCTTATGTTCTCAGATATGGTACAGAATCCTTGTATAAAACACAGTGACGTCTTATTATTATTACTCTAGTCACAGCTACTACCGATCTCTAACTATCGTGAAAAACCCAAACATGCATCTGCGCTTAAGTCTACACACAGAAAATACAGGCTCAGCCTTTATATAACTCTCCTGGCATCGTGCTGAACTTCTGTGTTGGAGCTTGTTAAAAAACCCCAACGAGCTAGTGTTAATTAGGACAACAGTTTACTGAAATAATTTTTATCAAACTCCTTGCATTCATTTGCCCAATTAATATTCTTGGAATGAGGACAGTTGTTCAGCTGTTGGTTCTGTGATTACAGATGTGAAGACAGAATGACACTGTGCCAAAAGTCAATAACACAGTGTTCGAGTATCTTTCTGTTGTTTGTGTCAATTGGAAAATAGAGGCAAATCTCTCTCAATAATAAATCCATCTTGAAGTTGAAGTTCCACAAAATAAATAGCAATAGGTAAATATTTAAAGTTATTTTCAGCAAGTATAAGAAAGCCTTTGTTAGTCTTACCAGAAACTATTGTTACAAGCAGTACACACAAGTTAGTAATTGATAGTAAAATATTAATGATTTATATGATTCTTACTATTGGATCAGGGAACTTCCCTTGCACTAGAGTGCTGGCGATTCTGAACTTGTCCTCCTGAGTTTACATGCACATGGTCAACAAACTTGTTTTCTCATACCAGCCTCACCGTTTCTTTAGACAGTGAATTGAGTTACTAGTTGTGAGCAACTGGAGTTTAAGTCAGTGTAGTATGATTTCTGTTATCCTGAAAGGAATGACAATGCTTATTCTGTGTAGCTAAAAAGGAGCTTGCAGTTTTCAACTTATTTTTAGTGTCCTCGTTATTTTCCAAATTGTTGTGCTACCTGGATGTTTCAACACCCACTCCTCACCGCCTAAAACCCCCACACCAAACAACCCTGAAAGACCACCAGTTTAGTTCTGAGAGACTGCATTTTAAATGTCAAAGGGCCAGACTTCTTTTTTTTTCTAAATGAAGAATGTTGGCTTGATCTACCGACTTAAGAAAGTAAGCTCAACAGATAAGAAAAGGATGAGAAAAAAGACACTTTGATTTCTGCACTAGAAATAAATATCCTTGACAAAACAAGTGAAGATAAATGGTTAAATTCACCGGCCAGTTTCTGAATTAAAATGTGAATCACTTCCCATTTTACACTTGGTGTCAGAACTCCAGTAAACTGCAGGAGCGGAATGCACATTGGCATTTTTACTTTTCCATGATGGTTCTGAAGTCACCTTGGTTTTATATGGCTTGTAGAGAGGATATCACACTGAACATCGTGCAGATTTGTTGGCTTCAGTGGGCGTTCTCCCTTACTGCTGGTGTGGGCCATGGAAACTCTGTGCTGCCATCCTTGGCTAGGTAAGCAGCAGTCAGCAGTCAGGAGATAACTGGAAACAAACCAAAGGTGGGAAGAAAGGGAAAAAAATAACACAAAAGAGCTGGGGTAAAGCGATGTTTGTAGCGGGACAGTAACTCCCCAGGAGAGGAATGCCAGTGATAGAGCAACATCAACATATGTGCGACCACAGATAACTCTTTTCACCTCTAACTTTCTGGTGACCTTTCTGAATCTTGCTGGTTGTGCTCAGTGTAGTAAAATAACTTATACTTGTATTGCTGTTATTTCACTGAGTGGGAAGGGAATGGGGCTTAGGAAAGAAAAAACAGTCTGAAATCCTGTAGTAGAATACACAGCCTGGAATGTATACTTGCCCTGTTGTAATTTAGTAGAATAAAGATTGCTGAGGGCTTGCCTTTCTCCTGGAGGTAGCCTCAAGCTATGGAAAGTGTTCTCATGCATGTAAGGCCAGACTGTTGGGCTTACATCTTAAAATAAAAACATAAATATATATTTGACCCATTTCTTCTCTACTAAGCAAAAAGAGCTTTGGCTTTTTGTTCAACTGAATTAAGCATTCCCTAGACTAATTTCTGTAACCCAGACAGAGCTGCACCAATTAGAAAACATTACAGAAAACACACCTGACTGGGAAAGATAATGAAATGCATTTGCTAATCCTGTTATTCCAGATGAGTACAACACACCACTTTAACAACATGAGCTCAACAGTTAGCATAAAAAAAGTTCCTCCTTTTTTCACCCTTCTTTCTTCTCAGTATAGCATTTTAAGCCAGTTAGAAAGACTCTGTTTGAGGCAACTAGTGTGTATCCTAAATGATAAATTAAAGGCTGCACTACACTGGCTAATAGCGCAAGCCATTCTCATGGCTCAAGTAATGTTTATTAGTTTTCCGTCTTAGCAAAATGTGTAGGCAGAAAGGGATCTTTATTGTCTTGTCATTACCTTCGTTCTGTGAATGAGGGGAGAGGAAAGCTGCCCAAAAGAATATGGAATTGTTAAATAATCCCTAAATAAGAGAACAAAGTGGTACAGGATTTGAGAGGAAAAGCTGAAACCACAGTCATTCTGGTTGAAGCGTCACGGATGTTTTTTAGCTATGCTAGAAGCTATAAAGCTTTGTGAACCTTTCTGTTGCTAGGGAGAAACAGCCCTTACTTAATATTTACTGACTTTTGCAGTCTCTGACACAGATTAGCAACAGGAGACTGGTTAGTCTGTTACTTGGTGATGAATTTAGACATCGTGGCGGCTTGCTTGTACTTGCCTTCAGAGTAATTTGCTAATTTTTGACTCAGGCAGAGCACAACCGCGTGCAGCTGGAAGTGGGATCTGCATATTTCCATAGATTTCTCTGCACTAAGTCGTGGTGACGGATGCAAATGTATGAAGGATTGAGATTTTGGTATTTTGTCCCCATTAAATCAGATTCATAAAATGGGAATGGAGAAGGCAAATGAACTCCTGTGTTCTACCTTCTTCTAAAGCTATAATTTTTTTTTAGTGGCAAAAATCTGAGGAACTAACAGCGAAGGATAGAAATTGATTCTTTACTGGTGACAATTTACTGTTACATGACAGGGCTATAAACTGGAGTGATTTTGGCATTGGTAGCGACCATGAGCTTTGTCTGCTTTTGTTCTTGGTGTCCAAGATAAGATAGAGTAGGCGTATTTTTTTTCTTGAATGTGGAATACGTGTATTTGCACTCTGAGTAACCTGGAGTGCAATATCTGTTAGAAACAGGCCTGAGATGTCTTAGGTTCCTCATCCAGAAGTTATGATACCTGGTACCAACAGCTGCTGGAAACATTTGCTCAAGGAAATGTGTTTTTCAACTGGACTTTGTAATCTTCTCAAATGGCAACAGCTGAGCAAAACTTTGATTAATGAAATCCATTTTGCATTTCCTGACTTGCATATTGAAGTGGAATAGCTATCCTTGCATTTAGCCAAGTATTTTACAAAGGTTAGACATACTGTCTGTTCTTACATGCTGGGCATCTGTAATGAGACCTCGAGACTAAGGGCTGCTGAATAAATCTTTTCAAAATAAACGGGTCATTTGCCTGACTCTGCTTACTGTTTAAAAATAACAGTATTCTGACAGGTGTTTCCAGCCCAGTCCATCCTGGATGGGTCCTGGTGACAACCAGCCTGATCTAGTAGTATTTGCAACATAGACACTGTGAAAAAATGGCAAAAGAACCATAAAAAAATCCATATTATATGATAATATAAACATTGGCTGGATGACAGCTGGTCCTCTAGGGGAGAGAAGAGCTTCACATCCTTTCTCCTCTTGTCCTCCAAACAGGGACCATGGCAATGTGATTCTCTGGCTGCTCTGATCCCAGTTTTTGTGTTAAAAGTCCACCAGAAAGGATGCTGCTTTCTCAAAAAGGCAGAGGTGAGGAACACAGTCTTTATTCACTGCTGGCTCTGAAGAAGGCCTAATTTTGCAGCAGAGAAATGCCTAAGGCATTGAGGCACTCTTTTTTTTCTTTTCGTTTTTTTTTCCTCCCCCAAATGCAGCATGAGTAGTTTTTTTGCTTTTGTGTACTGATGTTGAGAAAAACTTCCAGAAAGAACTGCTGGTTTGCTTGCAGCATACTGTCATCCCTGTCAGTTGGCTGATACCTTTCCAGCGTTGAATGGCCTGTAATATCAGAAACAAAATGTTTCTGTTTTAGAAACACAGGAGAGGAAGTCCTATCCTAGATGCTGCTAAATTATCAACTCCTAAGGAAGCATGAAGGTGCTGATAACCCTGGAGATGAAGTTTCTTTTGCTTAAGTGACTACTAAATGAGGCTTCAACTCTTCATCTTCTGCCTTCAGGATCTCATGCTGCCATGCTGACAGACATGGCCTTTTTCTTCAAGGGAATCATCACAAGCAGGGAGCTCTGTTGCAGTTGCCAAGTCACTCTCCATCATATTTGAAAA